ATTTGGAAAACTCTGCCCGGCTCATGCTTAGATCTCCACTCACAGCCACCCCTGTCAGAAGTGAGTCCCTTCAGTCTCATGAAATCAAACATCAGGCTCTCCTAACCCTGTTCTCCCCACATCAGGCTCTCCTCACCCTGCTCTCACATCAGGCTCTCCTAACCCTGCTCTCACATCAGGCTCTCCTAACCCTGCTCTTCCCACAGCCACTCCATCTTTCCAGTTGCAGGTGCTCTCTGAGTCTCCTCTTCCTGTTATTTCCAGTATATTCTACCAGCAAAACTATCACCTCTGTCCTTAAAATATCCCTAGATCCCAGGAACATCCTCCATCTCTATTTTAGGCAAATAGTCTACCAGCATTAACCTAGATTTCTTTCGATTCTTCCTTAAATGTTTTCTCTTCCTGCCTCCAACCATTGACTTTCCGCTCAGCAGTCAAAATGACTTTCCTAAAGCCTTACCTCAGGTCCTGCCAGTTCTCCACTTAGAACTGCCCAATGGTTCCCCATCTCATTTTGAGTCAGTGTCAAAATGGGACACTTCACATGGCCTGCAGCACCCTCCTGGGCCTGCCTCCCCACACTGAGCTCTTTAAAGTACCCTTCCCCAACTGTACCTGTCTTCAGAACTTTACCAACACACATCCCATCACCCAGTCTCAGGCCTTTACACAAATTCTCTCGGTTCTCACAGATCATCTTCTCAGGCTCAGTCCTTCTGCTTGGGTCTCTGTGTCCACTGGGTTGGGATGCTCCCAATGACCACATCCAGCCCTGCCTGGGCTCCTTCACAGCTGCATTTAACTCCATAGCACCTTCACAGCTGCATTTAACTCCACAGCATTTACCACCATGGGACATAACTCCATAGCACTTACCACCATGGGGCATAACTCCAAAGCACCTGACCATCATGAGGCAAAACTCCATAGCATCTGACTACCATGGGGCAAAGCTCCATTGCACCTGTGCATCATGGGCAAAGCTCCATAGCCCCTGTCCACCATGGGGTATAACTTCATAGCACCTGTCCACTGTGGGGTATAACTCCATAGCCCCTGTCCACTGTGGGGTATAACTCCATAGCCCCTGTCCACCATGGGGTATAACTCCATAGCACCTGTCCACTGTGGGGTATAACTCCATAGCCCCTGTCCACCATGGGGTATAACTCCATAGCCCCTGTCCACCGTGGGGTATAACTCCATAACCCCTGTCCACCGTGGGACATATCTCCGTAGCCCCTGTCCACCGTGGGGCATTTTTCACTGGTGTGTGTGTTGTTTGTCTGGTCCATAAAATGTAAGGCATCTGAAGGCTGAGGCATTTTATTGCTTGCTTGTTTTTTAATCATTTATATTTGTTGGTGTCTTCATCAGTGACTTAAATAGTACTTTGATATACTGTGGTCACCCTAAAACATTCCCTGAATGGAGGCTGATGAACAAGTCAGGAGTTTCAGGGTACAGCCTGCTGAGTTCAAAGCCATGGGAAACTGAGCTTTGCAATGCCTGCTAGACAGTTATAACACTTTCCAAGTCTAGGATTTCCCTCAGAAGAGTTATGATGCAATGAGCAACTGTTAGTGTCAGAAATAGAGATCATCTTGGAGACTGTTATCTGCTGCCCCTGGCTATGACCTGCTGTAACCTTTCCATAGACACACCAACATTATTTTGGAAAAGGGATGTCAGAATTGGATTCAGAGTCAAAAGAACGGAATTGTTTCAATGGGTACAGACGAATCAGAATCCATTCTCTATTTGCCTTTTATCTGGATTTTCAGCCCAACAACTAGAGATGTAAAGGTAAAGCACAGGACCATTTAAACCAAGTTCTCTAAATTAGTGAAAACATCTTCCATTTTATAAAGCTCTACTGAAGAAACACTTCAGATACTTGCCTATTAGAAAACTTGGGCCAAGAGTGGGCTGAGGAGATGCCATGCAAGGGTAAGAACCTGAGTTCAGATGCCAGGCACTCACATAAAAGCCAGACATGGCATGTTTACCCACATGAACACATGTATGCAACAGAGGGGTGGAGGGAGAGCGAGAGAGAGCGAGAGCAAGAACAAGAGAGGGGAGAGAGGGAGAGAGAGAGAGAGAGAGAGAGAGAGAGAGAGAGAGAGAGAGAGAGAGAAAGGGGGCTCAGGTAAAAAAAAATCAGAAAACAGTTTGAGATTTAGAATTAAAGGGAAATAATTGGGAATCGGGCTTAGGGATGTATGTACCCCAGTGACAGAAGGCTGGCCTGTCATACATGAGGCCCTAGGCCTCATCTGGAGCACTGGGAAGAAAAACCTTGCTGAAAATGAGTCAGCACCTGAATGTACAGCAAAAGGAAAGAGGGAGAGGAGGATCATTGGGAAACACTACGGAGCTCATGAGTGCGGGCTTTCTGTTTCTACTTTCCTAAGCAGCAAAAGAAGTGCAGCAGGAGCTTCAGGCGGCAGGCCTCCAGGGATGCTAACGCGGGGGAACTGCAGTCCTGGAGGGAGGAGATAGCACACCTTCAGACTGGGAGCATGGATGCTCGGTGAGCTCCCCACCCAGTGGTTCTAGAGTCATGCCAGGGGATAAGCCACCAAGGCAGCCACTTTGCTGCCACATGAGTCACAGTGTTAGTCACTGGGGAGATGCCCCCTCCTGGAGTGATGGCCACCCAAGGCTGGATTCGGTCCCTCTGGTTTGAACCAAACAGAGGAAGAGGGAGCCTCAACAAGCTGAATGTGGCCTGGCTCCCAGGGCTTGCTATGGTGTCCTGAAGGACCTGTCTACAGCTGCTCCCCCACAGCCATCATGAGCACATCCCATGGCAATGAGCAACCTTTGAGCATGAGAAAAACACCATCCTGCCATTACCACGGTACTCCTGCTTAGTTCTGCTTATTGCATGATTCCATTTTAAAATTTTAATGAGTTCATGTCTTCTCAACCTAGAAGAAATTTAAGGCAATTCGCCAAACATATATAGCATGAAAATATTTTTGTTTCATTAGAAATCAGGACCGGAGGAAACATAAACTAGAACTGAAAGTCTAGTAGATGGAGGAAGTAAAATATTACTCATTATAGCGGTCTAAAGGGCTCTCCAAGTTAAGCAGTGCCCTTGGCTTTGTGATAGTCCAGCAGTCTGAGCAAAAAGAGAAACACAACCAGTACATGCTTCTCACAGCCACAGCAGAAAAATGCTCAAGTTCCTCAGGGGAAGCAAACCATTTCCTGGAATTCAGATCTGCAAGAACTGCTTGCAGAAGGCTTCATGTGGAGAGTCATGACTAACTCCCCAGGAGCACGCCTAAAGCCATGCCCCCAGCTGAGGCTGCACACACTACTGCTCTTGGTAAAGGAACTTTAAGAAAATCAAGGGCCTGTGCTCACTACCATTTTATCAGAAAGAATATGAAGACGGTACTGACCACACACGCATCTTTATCTGAATCCAAGAAGCCCACTTCAACCGTCTTGGCAAAATGAATGACATTGATTCCTCGGTCTTCTACTCATGCAAATTGATCACAAGAATTAAACACATTATTCAAGCAGAGGGAGCTTACTGGACAGGACTCCCCAGTTCTCCCTTGCCACTCCCATGGGGTTTTAAAGTTTATATGCACCACAATGAAATAGAGTTGTATCTTCTAGTTTCTGTGAAGTGCTTCTGAAAGTGTTCAGGACTTTATGATTTGCCTAGCAAAGAACAACAGATAGGAATGTGTTTGGAAAAGTGAGGACAGGAGTGAGAGGGAAGGGTGAGTATAAATGGCAAGTTAGTTAGAAATAAGGAGCGCTGCTTGTGATTTGGTTCTCCTCCTGTAAGTGCCCTGCATCTTGCTACAGTACCGCGCAGCCTTCTCACTGTGAGCCAGCACCATGGATGACTGTCACATGGAAAACCCTGATGGAGAAGATTACTACCATTTCACACAGGGGAAGAATCAAAGGTTTGGAAGCAGGCAGAAAACTATCAGAGCCTTTTACAATTTCTTTTCCAGTCGGAACAGCCGGAATTTCAGTTTTCGTCATCACTCAGCTGTTTGTCCCTTTCAACCATCCTCCACATTTTACATTGCTGTCCATGGACTGTGTCTAACATGTTCAGCACATTGTGTGCATTAGTGACACCCTGTGACAGCAACAAAGAATTCATGAAAAGCACACTTGTCAAATTTACCTGTGGCCCTACCTCCTTTGCTTAATCTTGTTAGTAGATTTAAAAATTCTACCAAAATAACATGGACAAAGAAACCTGAAGAATTTCATGAAGTGACCCACAGTTGAAGCTAATCTGTTTGCCTCACCAACAATATATGTTCAGTAACCTGACCAGATAAGGTGACCAGAAAGTGATTTCACATCTGCTAGAGAACAACCAAAGATTATGGAAACCAGACAATGCAAGCAGGGCCCAAATCGGATGAAAATCCTGTTGCTGCCATGTGATGAGTCACCTGTTCCTGCCCCTTGGCCTGCTCTCTTTTGAACACACTGCCTACGTAAGATCCACTGTTCAATACTTAGCAAAGAAAAGAAATACCTGGTTAGGGGTAGATTTATGTGACACAGCTTTAAAAATAAGGTAATATTTTTCTAAAGCTTGAATTCTGTGCTTCAGATACTCATTTCCCCATGACTAACCTGAGCTCTGTGTGCTATCACAATCAAAGGTACATCCCTTTAAAAGAAAAAGGTGAACGGTCACACACAAATACATAAAATACTATTACAAACAGGCATTGTGGCACGTATCTGTAATCCCAGTGTTTGGGAGACTGAGTCAGGGGGATTGTACATTTAACAGCCTGAACTACTTAGCAAGATCTTGTCTCAAAATAATGTTCTAGAAACACCTCAACACAGTTTGCAGCACCAGACACTTTCCACACGATGCGGGGGAGGCACACCTCTGGTGTCCACACGGTGCCGGGGAGGCACACCTCTAGTGTCCACCCAGTGCTGGGGAGGCACACCACTAGTGTCCCCCTGGGCCCACCTACCCGCTTGCTGTTCTCTTCTTCTTGAGCCTTCCTGAACTCATGCTCAAAGGAGCAGTCGAGCTCACTGAAGAGACCCACCTCCTCACAGTTCTTCAGGAATCTTGTGGGTGTCGGAGTCTGATCTGAAAGCAGAGACCAAAGGTCAGTAGCAGGGACTTTCCTCCAATGCACAGTAAATGGAAGCAAATTCCTTCATTCCCCCTCTCCCCCATCACCTTAACGTGATGCCCAGCAGCTGTCCACAGTCTCCCAGCCCTTTAACTACAGTGGCCATGTGGAAGGGGGAAAGCCCTGAAAAGAAGAGAGCTATATATAAGGACTTCCCAGTCCTCCTGACCCCCACATCCACCTTCACCCCTGGACAGCAGTGAATATTTTGTCCTCCATATCTGGAGTCAGTATCATCTGAATATACACACATCACAGCATGGGGAATGAGCCTTTTTTACTTTAATCTGTTAAAAAAAAAAAAAAAAGATTTAACTAAAAATCAACCCCGAAGATTTTCTATGCCACTCTCAAAGTTGACTTCAGGAGTCTGGACAGAAAAGGAGTGTATATTTTCATAGAAAACAAAAAGAAACAAACAGGCCCGCTAATTCCTCCTTCTTAATGCAAAAAGTAGCTCAGCAATTTTATCTCCTCCTGAGAACCAGAGAAGGATGATAAGAGGTTCCAAGTCAAACATGCTCAGCTTCCATCTTCTATAAAATATAGCATTATTGATTTTTATTTTCCTTTGCTGTAGCCAAAAGAATGTTCTGTGGATACTCTCCAAAAGGAAAGGAATTTCTTTCATAATCTGGACTTTCTACAGAGCTTCCTCCTTAGAAAACTGGAGGAGATGAAGCCATGATCTGCAATCTATGTAGTATTTTCACACCCATGTGTTCTCTGGAATCTAATCTCACAGGACCCTGGGAAGTAAGCAAGGTAGAGTTATCCTTAAGACCGGCAGTCTTCCTTCAGATTAGGCACAGACAGCATGAAGAGCACTGAGTAAAATACTTTTCTTCAAGGCAGAAGATACAATAAACAGAAGGGAGGAGACATGGCCAACACACACACACACACACACACACACACACACACACACGCACACGCACACGCACACGCACATGCACGCACGCGTGAGTATGAAATGAGAAAACTGGAGAGCCAGTGAGATTTAGGCTCTTCTTCAGGTCTCCTGGGTAGATGGTGGTGACACCAGGATCACAAGCAAGGCCCCTCATCTCTTCCACTGTGTGCTTGTACTATCCCCACCTAAGCCCTTGGCAAACAGGAGATTGAGTGTGGCTTCTGTGCAGCTTGATCTGTATACTGCCTCCATTTCACTTTCTGCACAGTTCTCAAAGTTACAGTCACCGGTTATCCAAAGAGTTCCCTTACACAGAAACTCAGCGCCAGGCCTGCATGCTGCAAACTACTGTTATCACAAGAAATCAGGACTCTGCTTACTTTTCCACACACATAGAAATCCAGTAAATGTCAACCGAGACTCAGACTATCTTCCCGCTCACAAAGCAGGTGGCTTGTTACCCACCGTCCTCCACAGAATTAGCCCTTCATAGGCAACCTGTCCTATGAAAAAGGGGCATTCAGTTCCCGAGGGGTTGGCATGGACTCTGGGGCAGCAAAGTTCCAACAGTGCTCTTTCCCGATTCTTATCCTCAAGATCCAAAATTGTGAGTCTCTACTCCAGATGACTGTAAATCAAACCTTATCTAAAACACTTACATGAAGACTGTGCTTTGTGCAAATGATGTTTTTAGCACACTAAGTTACTATGATGCACACATGGATATCGGTGTGTCTCAAACATTCATATAACCATTGTATGGTTATACAAAACAACATATTTCTACAGAAATTTGTGCTTCCCAAGCATTTTCGCCCAAATTGTCTCACACACGTTTGTAAGTAGGGTAGATTCTATTCTGGAAATGGAGAAATGGTCTTCCTGAACAAGACCACACAACCTACAACCATCTCTTTCAAAATCTTCTATCACCTTCAGACAGGATCTCGTTTTAGTCCAAATCCCATGTTTGCCCTTTCAGGATCAAAAAGCTCATAAGCCCTTTGTGTGTAAAACAATTTGGTGTGTGTGAGTGTGTGTGTGTGTGTGTGTGTGTGTGTGTGTGTGTGTGTGTGTGTGTGAAAGAATTTGACAACCCAGAAGTCCATATTTGGAAAATAGCATGACTTAGAGGACATAAATACTGTTCCTAGACTTCCTCCTTTATCTTTCAAATAAAATTCTAAAGGTTAAGGAGTCTATGAATCCGAAACTCAGATTAATTTCAAAAGCCACTGCCCATAGACCCAAGCAACATACAACTATTGAAAGGACAGTCAAAGGGAGTCACTAGGAATTAGTGATCAGGGCAGAAATAAGACCCAGACCTGCAGATGAGGAGTTTCTAGATAGGAGGTGTAAATAGAGAAAGCGAGTACAGCAACAGACAGCTATGTACTGGCTGTGGTGCACTGATTCCTCCACTGGGAGTCTCTTTCTGGTCTTGGAGCTGAGCACTTCCCTTCCATATCAGTAATATTCACAGCCACCATGCTAGGTAAAAACTATTTTTCTTGTCCTATTTATGAAGAAATTAAGTCTTGTTCCAGGTCCGATATGTAAATTGAGTCCATAATTTTATTGGTAATTAATCATTTTATCAGTGATAGCCTATTTTTTGAAATGAAGCCATTCTTGGAATCCTGCCTATCCTTCACAGAACTCCCTGCATTGGAAGCCTCCCTTCTTTGCTGTGTCCCAAGAGTGTTTCTGAGGAAACACCAAGCCACAGAGAAAGGGTTGGCCACTTGTCATCACAGGCATTTATTTTACCAGGTCTTGCTTTTCCTCTTATTCCTCCATATATTAGGAGTCATGGTTGAGAACCGAGCATCATCAGTCAGCTATAGATGGCATCAGCAACAGAAACACCCCAAATAAGAACAGACAGCGCTCTTTTGGTAAATAACAGCTTAGATGCAGCCTTTCAACAGTGATGAGGGCACACCTTGAAGACTTACAGAAACTGATTTCAATAGAAAATCAAACTGAAGTGTTTAAAGTCACATCAGCAGTATCCTTGAGGCTCCTGAGGTGTTGGCCTCATGGTGAGGGCCCACGACATTAATCACAAATGATATGAGAGTGGGCAGACTCCAAGCAAAGCTAAGAGATTTTTATTTTTCTTCTATGCTAAAGCAAAAGACTCTCAGTTACTATTACACACCTACACACAAAGGAGGTGGGGATGGGGATGACCTTGGCCATCATCTTGGGCTTCCTTCCCAAGAAATCCAAACAAGTAGAGCCATGCATAGCAAAGACAGTGGCTTCCTCCACCCTAGAGCAGATGGCCCAGAGGGAGACCCTTGAGTTGTTACCAAGTATGATTATCTTTGCTGCATATACCAAATACCTATACTCTCATTTGAAACATACAAGAGACACTGTCCCTAAGTTTTGACTCATCTTGGTGAGTGAGACATCCTTTCCAGTTACAAAAGAAACTAATAAATGGCACCTCGTTTTCATCTAACATTTATTGGACTGAGTATAGGGTCTCTAGCCATCTTTAATCTCTTATCCCACCAGCTCCAAGTAAGCCGGGAAATGTGTAAATGCTCAAAGGGGGAACAGCTCAACCTTTTGGTTGCTTAAGTCAGAGAGGCAGGAATTTTCACTGCCACGAATGCCTTTACCAAATAATTGTTTCTCCTGAAATCCCTCGAACTTAGTGGGGAAAACCCACAGCTGTAAATTAAAATGTTTGTAATCCCTTCCTCATTTCGATCCAAGAACATTAGTCTGCTATAGCACCAAGTGATGTCTGTATCCTGAAGAGGAGTGGCTGTGCTTTTCTGGTGAATACTAAGATGTGTTCAGACAGTAGGGACAAGCAGCCCTCTTAGGATGTACAGGAACTTTTTTTTTTTTTTTTTTTTTTTAGGAATGCTGAGCTGCACACTTAAGAATTTAGGCTCGCCTTTCATTAGGTACTTCAGCCAGAAACACCCAAATAAAAGACAGGACAACCTCCGAACTTTTGAACTTGCACTTCACCTGTGCACAGTTTTCTGTGGTGATCATCCTCATACACCTGGATGAATGTGCATGAACACCTGCAGGTTCCCCTCTGTGGTTATCACCCTCATACACCTGGATGGATGTGCATGAACACCTGCAGGTTCACCTCTGTGGTGATCATCCTCGTACACCTGGATGAATGTGCATGAACACCTGCAGGTTCCCCTCTGTGGTGATCATCCTCATACACCTGGATGAATGTGCATGAACACCTGCAGGTTCCCCTCTGTGGTGATCATCCTCATACACCTGGATGAATGTGCATGAACACCTACAGGTTCCCCTCTGACAGAGACTAACAAACAGCACACAGGGTTCTGGGGAGTCTCAAGCACCTGAGGCAAAGGCAAGAAGGAAATTTTGATCACTTTTCTTATTGTCGAACACGCCTTTAAGGAGAATGAAACCCTGTCATTTGCTGCAATGTGGGCAGATCTGGAAAGAGTTGAGCTAAACAAGCCAGGCACCCCACAATAAAAAACACACATTTGCATGCATTTGTGGAGGTTTAAAATATTCATTTTATACAAGTAGAGAATAGAATACTGGCTACCAGAGGTTGAGGAGGGTGGTGCAGAGGCAGGGTAAAGGGTCCAGGGGTATGGTTGGGCAGAAGTGATAACGTCTAATCTACGGCACAGTACGATGCCTATGCCTAACAATAACTGAATACTACATGGTAGATGGTAAAGGCTTTAGAATATTATCTACACAAAGAAAGCATAAACATTTAACATAATGGGTAGACCAATTGCCCTAGTCTGATCAATACACATCAGGCACATGCATTGAAAATCATATAGTACCATATAAATATGTATAGTTTGCACATATCAATGAAATGTTTTTAATTAATTTTTAACTGTTAGCACCAAAGAGGATTTAAAAAATAATTTCTTTGCGGTTTATCACAGTCCAGTATCTAGATCCTTTGCTGAATGTTTCATGAGAAAGGGGTGTCTCCTCACTGAGTCTCTATCCCTGGAACAGTGAGCCAAGGAGCCTTGCAATGTTAAG